ATTCCACCTTCGAAGTAGAGAAAAATATTAAATTAAACAAATTAAAAGTTATTAAAAAATTTATGTATACGATGACACATTTCATGTTCTGATTGGAGGATTAAATTTATTAAATTAAATTTTCAATAAGACTAATTTTATAAAATATGTAAGTCTTGAAGATTAAATATGTAATTATACTAATTTATTAACTTATGCATCAATATTTTCGTTAAATATTGATATGAGATGACTAGATTGATAACATTTAAATAATTAACTGATAAAATTAATAGATCGATAATCAAAATCAAAATACTCGAAACTTGATAATTCTTACATTATAATCGAAACATTTTACATAATATATTATTAATTTATAATAATAATAAAAATAAACTATTTATTATAAAACAAAATACGTGTCTGCTGAGTTGGCAAAGGCGCGTCCCCGGGGACGCGCCTTTCACACGTGGCATTCAACTCAGCGAAAAACACGGGTAAAGCGCGCCCCCGGAGACGCGCCTTTGCCAACTCAGCAGAAAGGGTGCTAGTTCTGGAAATATTGGTCAAACGGTGTCAGAAAAGTAAAATTAAAATCAAACGGTGTCAGTTATGTAAAAACCCCCAGGCGTGGATGGCAGGGTATGGTGTGGTGGCAGGACAAAAAAGTGGTGATTACATATATGATATATAATTAGGCTTTATTATATACATGATTGTACATAAAAATAAATATTTTATATAAAAATTATTTTAAGAAGTGATGTCTTATGAAGTAGTAAAAATATTTTATATAAAGATGACGAATGATAGAACATTGGAGGCATTGACAAATGATTAAACAAATCATGGATACCACTTTATTCAATCATAACGTCGATCAATCTTGGGATTGAGAGGAATGGAGATCCTCCATTTGCAATTGTTTTCCAAGCAATTTCTGCCGTTTCCTTCAATCATAACTTCATTCATTACTTAAGCTATATTGCTTTCTCGATCTCATTGGCCATCACTACATCATAATTAAGATCCCTGTAGTCCAGTCTCGGTTCCACCGGTACCCTTGATTCCTTAACCATCTTAAATGGCATTGAGCTGTTGTTCGGCGTACACGGACCATGTTACCATCGTCACTCCGAACCACAAGATTTCGAAGTCGCAACCTCAATGAGCCTACAAACCATACTTCTATTGCTTCGTGGGCTGGAATTTCCACACATCATCATCCCCTTCCCTTGGGTCCTTTCCTCAGACCCTTTTGGTAGCGTGTTCTCATTGTAACGAACAGTTCACGAACCTTCATTTTGTGGTGGTTGTGGCTGCATTTGCACGGACCACAATAACAGGTATCCGCTTTGCTGAGTCCAAGTGCTCCTTCTTTGATATGGGATGCACCAACAGAAGTTCAAAAACAAAGAAATACCACCAATGATTTCATGGAGCCATGTCATCACCTTTTCACATTGAGCCAAGTCCAGATTCGGGTGAGGCTTACAACTGATATCAAGCAGTGGTCCAACAGACTAAACTGGGGGATTTCTGCCATTAATAACACAAGAGGTTCATGCTCTTCAAATGTATTAATCACAATCCCTTTGACAGTCTTGAATCTTTGAACCATCATCATATACGAAGGATAGCCACTATCCTTGTCAAACAAAGCCGAAGGCAAAACATTGGGGGCACAGGATTGATAAATCATGAGATGAACTCGTCTAGATCCGACGGTTTAAGCTCGGAGCCATGCCAAGTATATCGACTAATTAATTGGAACAAAAGGCTCAAGTATCCTCGATTAAAGGTTAAGAAAAAGTAGGAAGGAACATTAAACAAATGAGCAATGTCAACAAATGACGCAAAGAGCAAATCAAAAACTAACCGGTAAATTGGGTCAAATCTGATACAGATTCCGATGACAAAATGTTGGTGACGTCTTTTAAAAGAGGCATCTGAATTTTCATGAGTTCTTATCGGACTGCAGATGATCAATATTTGAAGTTTGTTCTTCCTGTTGAGGAAGGTTGATTAGTTTGATATATTCTAGTTCTGAGACCTTGACTGATTGAATTCAAGCGTCTACGAAGGAATATAAGGGCAGTTTAACGGAGACTATGGTGATCGAAACTCAACCATCATGATTAACTAGGGGATTTGCGAATTCCGGAGCTGAGATCAAGTGACCTTTGCTTGGTGAGAGTGAATGTCAGCTCTCCTTTATGTGTTAAATCCATTTTACGATATATTGTGTTCAATATTACCTCTTAAAAGTAATTGCCAAACAAATTTCCAGAGTTCGGAAATCTTCCTATCCAAATAAACTAACATTCAATCCAAACTGAAAAAAGACTAAAACTTAATCATTTCATGAAGATGGCAATGCTCGATCATGTACTTGAAGCTTAATTAGACAGTGAACACTGAAAAAAAGAAGTGATGGAACCAGATGTAAAAGCAATGGGAACAAGTACAGCTATAGAAGAAAAAAGACCCACCAATGGCATTGTTCTAAGATGGACTAAAACTTAATCATTTCATAAAGATGGCAATGCTCGATCATGTACTTGAAGCTATAGATCCATTACTTCAAGCTGGAAGTTAATGACGATGAAAAACAATGGATACTGAAGCAAAAACCCAAAATTGCAATCAAATCCATAAATTTGTACCAAGTTTCTAAAACAAACACGCAAGTTCAAGTTTAAGTTCGATATAGAAAGCGTGCATAATATTAAAGCAAGCACCAGTATTTTAGTTTTATTTCTACAAGCCAAATTTACAGTACATATTATAAAAAAAAGACGAAAAATTAGATTTAAAAGAAAATTTCAGAAAAATCACCGGCTCTTGCTTTCGTAATCGACAACCTCGGAATCGGTAACGGATCTCGAATTTTGAACGATGGACCTGCCGATCGAATTGATCCAATCTTCTTTCTCTTTCTCCGTATTGGCGATGAAATACATGGTGGAATCTCGAGTGGAGAGCTCGAAGGCGAAGGCCTTGTAGACGATATCCTCAGCTCCCTTGACCGTGAGGCATTCGCCGACCGAAACAAACCCACGGGGAGCGGATCGACGGCTGACGGAAGCCGGATCCTTGAACCATAACAGGTCACCTTGCTTCAAGACAAACCACCGGCGTCGCCAGGTTTTGATGTAATCGCCTTGTTTAGTTTGTTTAGTTAGTCATCCGGCTCGCTCCGGATTTGCCCAGAACTTGACGCCCTTGTAATCATCCTGATTCGGGTCCTGACCCGTTGCTGCTCGCCATAGATTCTCCATTTTGGAAGAGAGGGGAGAGAGAATTGATGCTTTGGGCAAAGAATTGAAATTTGTTTGGATTTGTTATCTAGTAGTTTGGCATTGTAATTGGAGATTTTAACTTTTGACTGGACTCGAGTAAGAAGCCATTGGCTTGTTCATAAAACGGTGACGTTTGAATGATGGATTGGTTGAGGAAAAAACTCTTACCATAAGTCGTAATTAGAGAGCGTAATTGGTCAAATATTATCTCAAATTGTGTTCAAGTTTTAAAACTGAAACTTGATCTAGCTGAGCCAAGCTTCTAGTCTAGCTCGAGACTCTTATAGTTTGAGCTCAATTCGATTAATGTAAATCATCTAATTGGGTTCACAGAACATGGATGATTAACACAGATCATCCCGGAAAACTCGAAAGTCCGAACAAGAAACAAAGAAAACCATGAGCAACGAACTCTTCCATGGCAATACACTTAACAATCTGAACACCATAGCAGAACATCGTAACCTTTCTCTTGAACTCTGAAGTAACTTCATTCCTCATCCTGAGCCAAAGCATCATTGCTTCCTGTTCGAACTTCTTGTTCTGCATCAATTTCTGATAGTTAAACGAATCTTTATCAGTCTCGATAGGGCTTCAAAATGTGGTTCGAAACGTGATCCGAATTACCCGCTACACATGCAATAGCGCCCGCTACGGCCACAACCTTGGTAAACACTAAATGACCGAAAACACGACCGCGATTTGAAATCCTGATCTCAATTATACCTTTGGGGCCAATCGTAGTCCCAAACATACCTCCCTTAGCAATGAACTCCTCCATGGCCTCAGCATCACCGGGATAAGGAAACTCTCTGCGCTCATATAAATGGGCTAACTCCCTTTCTTCCTTTGGCCTAGGCTTCAATGTCCACCACCCAGTGGGGACGTTTCGTTGTAGAGCCATGCGAAACCCAAGAGCGTGTACGTGCACAGCAACGCTTTCCCAACTTGCTTCCAAAAGTGATGGTCTTCTTTGCCTAATCCTATCTTTTTCAAATACTTATCCGCGTCCATCGATCTCAGTAACCGGAAACCTGCAATTTTGGGGAAAACTAGTTTAGTTCAGGCATTTCATCAAACAGGTTGAAGTCAACTAAGTTGAAGGGGGGAAAAAACAAATCTGGCGTACGTTTGGCATTGGAATTTTACCTGTCTTGGCTTCCTGACATCGTTTCCGAATCATTGTTTCCGAAATCTTTGATCAAGCTAATCCGTATCCGTTGATCGAGAAATACTTCGTCTGTCTCATACGATACGAGAAAAGTTACCCTCTTCCACTGGGAAAATAAGGGATAATTAAGTCGTTTTCTAAGTTTAGATTGGACTATACGGCAGTAGTTTACTAAAATGGTGGGCTTTGGATCTCCATTAGCCGAGAAAAAGCACAAGCAAAGACATGAACTCCGTGAAGGTAGCCCATTTTATTATCAGAACCGTCGGTTCAGCATCTCATACAACTCGCTTTGCCTTTGATCCCGCCACGTGTTCCCTGCCTTTTTTTCCAGCCCTCAAGTAAGCTAAGCTGACGAACATGGCTTCGATTTTCAAAAAAAATAACGAACATGGCTTCGTCCACGTTATCTCAAAAACAAAAACTGAAAACAAACAAATTTTCTTTTCCAAAATATCTTCGTTTCGCCACTTGCGTCGGGAAATTTTGGAACTTTCGTTTGAAGAAAAATATATAAGATTTTGATATTGAGTTTCCACTATCTAGAGTACGCTACTCTTTACATTCACTCAATTTTAGTTTCTTTTTTTCCACTTCTAAATTTAAGTGTATTATTATAGTTGTTGTTAAGCATATTTGAAGATGGCGGAAAACGGAAAATCTGCGACGGAGAAATTACCGGCGACTGCGTATCCGTTAACCGAAAATCCGACGCAGATCGCATCGGATATCAATTACCACGTGAAGTTCAATCCTCATTTCTCGCCGTTCAAGTTTGAGCCAGAACAAGCTTTCTTTGCTATAGCCGAGAGCGTTCGCAATATTCTCACCAAAGTATCTAATGTGTTGTTTTGTTTTGATAGTTTTTTTCTCTCTCTAATTATGGAATTTTTATTATTTTTTTGTGAAGCAATGGGAAGACACTTTCTGGCACTTCGGCAGAGCTAATCAGAAACACACTTCTCAATGGAATTTCTTCAAGGACGGGCTTTGACTAATGCGATTGGGAATCTAGGCATTGAAAATGCTTACGCCGAGGCTTTGAATAAGTTGGGACATGAACTCGAGGAGGTTGTTGAGCAGGTAATTAGTAAATTAATTTAGTCATATTTGTTTTGTTAGTGACTTCTTATTATATTTTATTATTGAGAAGAAAGAAGAAACAAATTTAATAGCAGTGATAATATAAGAAAAATAAGAAGTCTGTTGTAGTTTTAAATTGCATTGTTTTGATAACTGGAAATTTTGCAGGAAAAAGGTGCTGCACTTGAAATGGTGGCTTGGGAAGGCTTGCTTCTTGTTTTCTCGATTCCATGGCAACCTTGAATCTGCCTGCTGGGGGATACGTTTGGAGCCAGTAGTATAACTTGTGCTAGACAAACACTGATAGTAGTTGGGAGAATATCTAGCAGAGAAGCTAGATATTCTCGGTGAAAGATACACATCTGCATAAGCTGGTTTAACCTCAGTCACTTGAGCACTTGAAACAAATGTTATACTACTAGAAGATATAGAATGAAAATCTTCAGGGTGGACTAGCAAAGCACCATTTCGATGAGGTAGTGAGTTAGGCCTCAACAGTTGTGCAGTGGCAGTCATTCCCTCAACTGGTTGAAACGAACACAGTTCTTCTGAGGCTGCCCTCGTCCACACGAGTTTGCCTTTGTAGATAAACCATATATCACAAAAGCAGGGAGCTTTTTTGGCAGCATAACTTGCTTTGCAGGAGCTCTTTTTTGTCCTCTTGCAACTGTATTAAACCATTAGGATTCTATTCAAGGCTACCAAGAAAAAGTACTCATATCATTGGAAACGGACTGATCTAAAGTCAGGGTGAAGAATATTCAAACGAACACAACAAGAACATAAAGGAAGTAATCTATTATTTGTTCGAAATGGGAGGAGAGATGAAAGATTGATAAACATTTGGGCTACACTATGTTGCTCCAGCTATTCATTTTTCTAGAAGCACCGATGTTCAACATCGACATCCAACACATACCGGAAAATGAACACACCCATGTCGACACTAGTACCCGAGTCAGGTAACATACTTGCAACGAGAAAAATAAATAAATCTACATACTGGACTTAACATGAAACATTAACGTTCTATAGTTTTAGAAAAAGTAAAAGAGACATGGAAATAAAAGACTTACGTTTCCGGTATGGAACCCATAACAAGGTTCCTAATTTTGTCTCTTAACCAGTTCTACAATCCCTGCATGAACCTGGTCAGCTTCAATGGTGATAATTCTCATATTGACCTGCAAAGTGAATGCTTTGAAGATGACGCTCCTCTAAATCATGTAACAGAACAAAGATGAAAGAATGTCTGCAATAGCAAGAAATTCGGATTTCGTATTATATGAAATCCCCATATCTATCATACTCAGCTCGTTGGTGAATACCATAAACTTGTAACCTGCATACCGTAGAGTCTCTGTCATTTTTATCTTAAAGCAATTATGTCAGGCACATTTTGGGACTTGTTTACGTGGACATGGCCCTCTAACACAGGACTCTAGTAAAGAAAGAGATGCTAACCCTTTAATTTGAGGCAAAAACTCGAGTAATTTGCCAAAAGCTTCTTCAACACTTCTTTCTCCTCCCTCCTATATGCAGAAACGACATGACCATTGGCTTGACTTGCGGGTATTTTCCCCACCACGACATTACATGAAACCAGTTATTCATTACAATGCCCGAAGGTGGGGGGAAATCTAACAGACAAACAAAAGAAACCATTAACAAAGCAAGAGAGAGAGAGAGAGATTTTTATATAAAGTGGGGATCAGTGGAGAAGGATGATGAACATGAAGCAAACAAATATCTTTACCGCCAAACTGCCTCAACGTCCAATGTAATAGATCAACCGCCTTCTTAACTGATTTTCCCACCGCTAAGAAGTTGTCTTTCTCCCCAGCGTCAAAGACTCCGGTTTTCTCTTCTAATTCCGGGAAACGTATACTCGCCGGACGGTCAACTCGTCGCCTGAAACTCGATATTGAAATGCGCTCTCTGGTTGAGAAGCTCCATACTGTTCGAGAGGGGAGAAGTTCAATGGTATTATTCAATGGGATGAGCAAATTTTAAAGATTCTCCATTGTTTTTCCTGAGTTACACTTGCTGCGAACGAAGGGTGGATGGAGGCTTGACTTTTTTGTTAAGTTGAAATATCAAGAAAAGTAATAAGCGTAAACTAAGTTGTGTCATTGTATTTTTTTTTTTCAACGAATTTTCAAATATTATTAAAATATTTACTAAATTTTATAAATGATTATAAAATGATTTTATAAATTTTTATTAATTTAAGATGATTAAAAGTGTATACATATTATAAAGATTCTTAACAATTTGATGACGAAAGTTCATTATTCTTATTATCTGTGTTCTAACCTAAAAATTTTTTGGGATAACAATTATCAGGGATGGACCGAGTGGTGGGGATAATCGTTCATGAAAATTTAAAATTATCATATGTTTTAGATTTTACTATGTATTTTTTATTGAAAATCTATTTTCGTCTCTCACCCGAATTTTAATTTGCCTCCAAAGTTTAAGTTCACCCTTATAATATAAAATCTTACGTTTGGACAATCATATATTTAACCAATGAGGTAATTTAATTTGTGTAAAATTATTTTATACTATATGAAGTAATGAATTGTGATAAATTTAAAAATTGTTTTATTATAATGTGTTTTTTAAAGGGACTAATTCATCTTATTGACAATCAAAATGAAAAAAATTGTGACACTTTATAATTTTTCACAATTAAATAGTAATAATATTAAATCTTACTAGTATTTTATTAACTACGAATATAATTTAGCTAAAAGAATTTATTCCGTTGATATGGTAACTACCCTTAAATGATCGCATTAATGAAGTAGGTAAGCTATCAGTGACAGCCATTAACAAAGAAACAAATTAAGTGTTTTGAATGATTGATCTCAGAACGGTCTATTAACTTTTAACATCCAAAATGTAAAGTCAATCCATGTCTGAAAGCAAATTGTTTGGTTTAGTTGAAAATGGTCCATTATTTTATTATTGACCGAGTAATCTGTTTTGAATTGATATTGATTCCCTCATATCATCCTAATGATATCATCGAACCACCTTTAACCTACCATAGTTATAATTATTATTGAATAAACTATAATATATATTTTTTAAAATATTATAAATGTGATAAAAAATTCTATTTAAAATATTAAATAAATACACGTAATATTCATTTCTTTCCTGGAGATAGTCAAATGAAAAATATATGTAGTTTGATGGAATTTAAATATATTTATCATTTATAAAATATCTAAATTTTATCATTTGAGTTCAAGGTATTTAAATTATCAGTTAAATATTTAAATTTAAATTTAAATTTATTAAAAACTCTTCATTCACATCTAAAATAAGTTATAATAAAATATTTTTAAAAATAAAACATATAAATATAATTGTTATAGTATACATATCCAAATCCATTATTCATATAGTTAAAACAAATTTAAAAACTATATTTTAATTTATATCTATTATCCGTAAATATAAAATAAATCCAAATAATTAATATTCACCTATTTTCAAGTTTGATATAGGTAATGGCTAACATATCAAAGTTAAAATATTATCTGAATTTACAATATGTAAACAAAAAGAAAAACAAATAAGACATCGACATCTGAACTATTCCAATAAAAATTCCCTTTAAGAGAAATAACGTTGATAGGATTAGTTCAAAATGTCCTGAGAATACAAAGAAAAAAAAGGAAAGGCTAGAGAAATCAATTAAATAAATAATGCGCTCGTGTTTCAATGAATAAAAATCGTTCAACAACTGCTAAGGCCTAAGTGGACAAAACAAAAACCGATGAATTGTTTTTTATTTCAAAAGAAAATAAATTTAAAAAAAAAAAATCAAAAGACATTACTTGTAGGCCTCTTGCGTTGTGAAGAATTAGAAGCACTTCCTGTGCACAATAGATGGGCCAGATTCATCATATTCGGCCTTGGCAATCCACATCTGCACTCCAATCCCAATCAGTAAAACGTCTTTCGTATGTGTATGAATATGTAGAATATATACTAATACTATTCCCTTCCAATGTGAGTGTCCAAACATGTGTCGGATGCCAATAGTAGACATGAGTACTTCAAGAAAAACAAACACCCACTTGCCCATTTTTCACGTTGCTCCGACTTTAATTTATTTTTTTTCTTCAAGTACAAAAGTTTGACAATGACTTCAGACATTTTTATACGGAAATGGGTATGGGACATGACCCTTCAAAGACAATCCAAATGCATAGATCTTTCCTATGTGTGACACTCATATCCAAGTCTGAACTCTGAATAATATATAGCTTTTTTGAAGCAGCAGCAGAACCTAGTCTCCTCAATCTAGGTCTCATTTGTAATGGAAAAAAACTAAATATAACAAAAGGTGATTCCTAGCTTCCCGCCTAAATAATAGAGAACATAAAGCATTTAACATGAATGATAGAAGCATGGAGTCTGTGATGTGGATGGAAATCGGCAGAGTTGATTTTATCTGCTGGAAAGTACTAAGAGATGCCAAGATAGAGCCTCCAATCCAGACACTGTATTTCCTTTCAGGAGGAGCCACCACCTTAATCTTCATACTGTTTGGGGCTAAGGCAGTGATTTCCTTGCTCATTCTGTTGGCAATTCCAGGGAACATGGTAGTTCCACCGCCGAGAACAATATTTCCATACAAATCCTTCCTGATGTCAACATCGCACTTCATGATAGAATTGTATGTTGTTTCGTGGATGCCAGCAGCTTCCATTCCGATCATGGAAGGCTGGAAAAGGACTTCTGGGCATCGGAAACGCTCAGAACCAATGGTGATCACTTGGCCATCAGGCAACTCATAGCTCTTCTCAATGGAAGAACTAGTCTTGGCAGTTTCAAGCTCTTGCTCGAAGTCAAGTGCAATATATGCCAGCTTCTCTTTGACATCACGAACAATTTCACGCTCAGCTGTAGTGGTAAACGAATAACCACGCTCGGTCAAGATTTTCATGAGGGCATCAGTAAGGTCACGACCTGCTAGGTCAAGACGGAGGATGGCATGCGGGAGAGCGTATCCTTCATAAATGGGGACAGTATGGCTCACACCATCTCCGGAGTCCAGAACAATACCTGTAAGAAGTATAGTAGAAACAATTGGTATATGAAAAATAACTGGAGTAAAACGTAAATTACAAAGATACTAGTCCTAGTCTCTAACTATTTTCATGAAGACTTAGTAATAACTGTGAAATGAATGTAAAAATATCATTAGAAATAAGAAAATGGGGAGAAATGGAAACTAACTTTGAGCTCACTTTACATATTACTTGGGTAATCCATGGAAAAAAAAATCTTTCATGATGGCGAGAATGTCTCGAAGTGCAAATTCGGACTTTGAGGTTGTTTAACTCAAGTTTTATACATGAAATTGAGACTAATCAATTCCTTACCGGTTGTACGACCACTGGCATAAAGGGAGAGAACAGCCTGGATAGCAACATACATGGCCGGAGCATTGAAGGTCTCAAACATGGTTTGGGTCATTTTCTCACGATTGGCTTTCGGATTTAGTGGTGCCTCGGTGAGAAGGACTGGGTGCTCTTCTGGAGCCACACGGAGTTCATTGTAGAAGGTATGATGCCAAATCTTTTCCATATCTTCCCAATTGTTGACGATACCGTGCTCAATAGGGTATTTAAGAGTCAGAATACCACGCTTGGACTGAGCCTCATCACCAACATAAGCATCCTTCTGACCCATGCCAACCATCACACCTGTGTGACGCGGACGACCTACAATGCTAGGGAACACGGCTCTGTTAAAATATCACCATAGCTAAGTAACTAACTCACACAGAAACCATGAATTACTACTTTCATTCATTTGTAAGATCATACTTTCTACAGCAGTAGCACAAGGCTATTTATACAGTATATGATGAAATGAAAAAAGAGAGGGAAAGATTGTTAGTACGTTATAGGAAAGAGAGAGTTTGTTAAGAAAACTCTAACCACCACCGCACAATACACAGGCTAAATTACATAACTGATACCATTTTTTTTAAATTTTTCCTTTCTAACACCGTTTGACCAATATTTCCAGAAGTAGCACCCTTTCTGCTGAGTTGGCAAAGGCGCGTCCCCGGAGACGCGCTTTACCCGTATTTTCGCTGAGTTAGATGCCACGTGTGGAAGGCGCGTCCCCGGGGACGCGCCTTTACCTTATCAGCAGACACGTGTGGAAAGCGCATCCCCGGGGACGCGCCTTCCATTAAATGTCATAAATGCCCCCATCCGTTATTCCTAACTACCCCTCCTCCTCCCCTATATAAACCCCCTCAACCCTCCCTCATTCTTCACACCAAAATCATATTCTCCTCTCTTATATAACTCAAATTCTCCAACTATTTGAGTTTTAAATTTGTTATTAGTGGTAAGAAATTTATTTTATGTTAGTATTTTTTTAAATAGTTATTATTTTTTATATTATATATTATGTAAATATTATTTTTTTTATTAAAATAATATTTATATAATTATTATTTATTTAGAATTATTAATTTTTTTTGCTAATTATATTGTTTTGTCTACAGTTATAATAGAAAACGAAATGCTGTTGCGATTGGATATTGATCATATCTCCAGACATTTTAGCGATATGGTAATATTTTTTATAATTAATGTTAATATTTAAATTTATTTTTATTTTAAAGTTATTATGAATTTATATTAATTTTTATTTTTTCTAATGTATATTATTTAGGATGCTGATCGTATTTTAGAGACTTTTATTAAAAATCCACGTATACCGACACCGGAACGTATTTTGCCATATTTGGCTTCTGCCGGGTTCGGGTATATTGCAACAATTATAGGCGGTTGCAAACTCGAACCTGTCCTAATTTCTGCACTGATTGAGAGGTGGAGGCCCGAGACACACACTTTTCACCTTCAATGTGGAGAGGCGACAATTATATTGGAGGATGTCTCTATGCATCTGGGGCTTCCCGTCGACGGAAATATGATGTGTGGTATGGCGGATGGTGATTGGCAATCAATGTGCATTGATTATCTTGGAGCTGCTCCGCCAGAGTTTAATGGAGGTAGAATAGCTTTATCTTGGTTGAAAGCTAATTTTGAGGTTTTAAATGAAATGCTTCAGAGGATCAAGCAAGGCATGTGCTCGGGCATATATTCTACGAATAATTGGAGGAATATTGATGCCCGACAAATCTCGCAACCAGGTGCATTGTATGTGGTTACGGCATCTGATCGATTTTGATGAAGCTGGAAGATATAGTTGGGGTGCTACAGTTTTGGCATTTCTCTTTAGAGAAATGTGTCGGGCGACGAATTATAAGAAAACTGCTATCGGTTGATGTCTTCTGCTTCTACAATCATGGGCGTGGTTCTGCATGCCTTTCTTATGCCCGATCGTGAATGAACCATACGTATTCCCCTTATTGTTGAGGTAATTTTCGAACTAAATTTTGATTTAAATATTTTCAATTAAATAGGGTGATATTTAGTTTATATTATATTTCATAGGTGGTCGATGAAAAGAAAGGACCATAAAAGTATACCTACTGGGTTAGAGGAAATTCGTTTACTTATTGATACGAAAGCTCGGTCTGAGGTATGTTTTTAAATTTGTTTAATTATTAATAATTTAATTTAAAATGTTAGATATAATTAGAATATTTTATTTATTTGAATTGTATATTTATATTTCAGTTTCAGTGGATACCTTATGCGAGCGATGAAGAGAAAGCTTGCATTCCACCCCACCTTAGTGGGTCATTAGAGGTATGGATATCGGTTATACCTCTTATATGTTATGCTATTATTGAGTGGCATCCAGTTGATCGCGTGCTCCGTCAGTATGGTTGTACGCAATATATTCCTGGAGCTCCTAGGAATTTAGACGACGTGCATACATAGATAGACGAGGAAAAAAGATGTTAACTGGGTGGTGAGACCAGAGATTGGATTGCGCTTTGGAGAACCGATATACACTGTTGGCCCCTCGACAATATTACGCTGAAACTGGTCATATGGTTACGGATAACTATATGGACTGGTTTAATGAAAATGGGAAGCCGTTTCTACTTTCGGCGGAAGCACGAGGGGTTAACATTCCTAGGCGCCGAGAAAGACGTCAACCGTCTCAATATCATCGTCCCCCGACGCGTGGACGGAGAGAAGGCGCTACCGGTTCTGCATCAGTCCCACCACAACATCCTTATTCGTCGATGCCGCAGGGGTACATGCCCAGCCCTCCACTTTATATGCCAAGCCCACCAGTTTATATGCCATCTCCGCAGGGTTACATTCCGAGCCCGCAGGGTTACATTCCTAGCCCGCCAGGTTACTGCCTAGCCCCCAGGTTACATGCCTAGCCCGCAGGGTTTTATACCATATGGAGGTGCATATACGACTATGTTTAATGATCCAGCATGGTTCATATGCATCTTATTTGGCTGGTGGTGCTTCTCCGCAGATACCTCAATCTCCATCTGGATCACATACATCGATGCCAATGTTTCCACAGTTTTCACAGTTCCCGGGGAGCAGTGGGATTGTTACTAGCACTCCTCCAGGGTCGTTATTTTATACAGGCCCTTCAGCCCCTTCAGCGTCATCTACACCAAATGAAGAAAATGCTGCTGATGATGATAGTGAAGATGAGGAGACTGAAGAACAAGTTCCACGAAGAAATCCTCCACGAAATAGACAACCACCGCCACGTGGAACTCATTCGAGAAGACGACATCGGTGATCCAGTTATATTTAATGTTATTTAAATAATTATATTTCAAAATTTTATGTAATTTGGTTATGTTATTTAAATGTTTCATGGTTGTTACATACATATTTTTTAATGTTATTTTTTATTCACATTTAACATTAAATGTTTGATAAATGTTTTTAAAATACAAATTATATTATTCGAAATTTAAAATAAAAATAAAAATAATATTATTCAAATTTAAATTTAAAATATAAATTATAGTATTCAAAATTTAACATTAAATTTCAACTTAATATTCCAATTGTATTCGAAATTAAAAGTTATATTCTAATTATAGTACACAATACTTAAATTGAAATTAAATCTATCCATACATATGATTTTATCATTAACATATATATTAAAACGTATATATTAAAATCAACTTATGTTGAGTTCATCGATCGACGGAATCAGCCAAGAGGGGGTGAATTGGCAATTTATTCAATGTCACATTTCAATGCTCATTCCATACAATTTCAATGTCACAATCAACTTATCACTTCACATTTATTCAATTTATCCATAACATTTTATCTAATTTATTCAAACTTCACATAACGTTTTAATTTAAGTTATTCTTAACTTGCTGAACTTTCAAAAGAAGTTAAATTTTGGTTATAATTTACCTGATTTACTGATATATCTAGTGTCCCCGAGGGACATGAGTGACATAATAGGGCAATGATAACATATTCTCTGATGAAATAATGGAAGGCGCGTCCCCGGGAACGCGCCTTCATGTGAATAGTGAAATAATAGGTACTGATATATCTAGTGTCCCCGAGGGAATTTAGCCGACATAATAGGGCAATGATAATATTCTCTGATGAAATAATGGAAGGCGCGCCCCCGGGAACGCGCCTTCATGTGAATAGTGAAATAATAGGTACTGATATATCTAGTGTCCCCGAGGGACATGAGTGACATAATAGGGCAATGATAACATATTCTCTGACGAAATAATGGAAGGCGCGCCCCCGGGAACGCGCCTTCATGTGAATAGTGAAATAATAGGTACTGATATATCTAGTGTCCCCGAGGGAATTTAGCCGACATAATAGGGCAATGATAACATATTCTCTGACGAAATAATGGAAGGCGCGCCCCCGGGAACGCGCCTTCATATGAATAGTGAAATAATAGGTACTGATATATCTAGTGTCCCCGAGGGACATGAGTGACATAATAGGGCAATGATAACATATTCTCTGACGAAATAATGGAAGGCGCGTCCCTGGGAACGCGCCTTCATGTGAATAGTACTCCGATTATAGACACTATTATATGCAACGTATTATAAACTTTCAAAACAAACTTCAGTTCACAATCTTTCAAAATCTCAAATTCTCAAACTCTAAATTCTCAAATTCTCTGAAAATGAGTCGTCTTTCTGCTGCTGTTTTGTATGATGGAGAAATTAAGGAAGCTGAAGAGGGGGTTGTTTTTGAGTCAGATCATTATATCCCCTTAACCTTGAAGAGAAACATCACAATTGAGGAGTTAATCACAAAAATTTCGTTAAAGATTCGTGTAGCAGGCCAGAGAAGACTATCTTTACTTCAGTACAGATTTCCTACTGAACTTTTTTCGCTCACGTATACATCATTTCAGCTTTCAAACGATGATGATGTTTCTATGGTGGTTGATGCTTATATGGGGAGTTCACAATCTCTTATTGAAATGTATGCCACTTTTATTGAGGTTCGTGCAACTCGTGGTCTCTCATATTCCTCTCACTTTGGCATTGCATATCAAACTGATCAAGTTGATAGCCCGACACAACTGATCTGTAATGATTTCACATCATTAATGGCGGATCCAACGCCATATACCATGCCATCAAGTTCAATAGGAAGGCATTCATCTGCAACTGCTTATGATCTCAACCCACGTGGCTTCACCAATAATCCATATGGCAACATCTCTTCTACTTCAAGGGGCAGACATTCATCTGCCAATGTTTTCGACTTACATATGGAAATGCCAACGAGACGACAGTCTATTCACATCCCACATGATGCAATGTATGAGCCTGAATTTCCAGATCTTCCTAATGTTGGCAACTATGGACTTCAATCATCAGTCAATGACGGTAATTTACATATTGGAATGGAGTTCGCATCGAAGGAGGAAGCAATGATGGCAATAAAGAGTTACAATATTCGTAACTCAGTTCAGTCCCGAGTTGATCGATCTAACACGGAGAAATATGTCTGCTACTGCGTCCAACGTGACAACGGATGTCAATGGATGGTCTGTGTATCAAAGAGGAAGGGGAAGAACAACTTATGAGAACTAACCAGATACAACGGTCCTCATACATGTTGTGCAACAGGTATAAACCAGGATCATCCCAACTTGGACTCCAACATTATTTGTCAAGCAATCATGCCCATTGTGAAGCAAAGCTCTCATATAGCTGTTGCAGTGTTGATTTCTGCTATACAGTCACAATATGGGTACACTGTCTCATATAAAAAAGCGTGGTTGGCAAAACTGAATTCCATTTGCAAACTTCATGGCGAATGGGATTCCTCTTACAATGAGCTGCCCAGTTGGTTTCATGTTGTGCAAAGACTTAATCCTGGGACAATTGTTGAGTTCGAAACTCAACATCATTACGTGAATGATCGAATGGTTCGCGATCGCTGCCAATTTACCGAGTCTTTTGGACTTACCCTCAGTGTATTAATGCAGTCAAGTACTGTAAACCAATTGTCCAAATTGATGGTACTTTCTTGTATGGGAAATACAAGCAAGTTTTATTATTGGCTGTGGTCCAAGATGGAAATCGCAATATTCTTCCTGTTGCGTTTGCCCTCGTTCAAGGAGAAGACACTGAGTCTTGGGCTTTTTTCCTTAAAAATTTACGTTTACATGTTGTCACCAGGGAACGACTATGCATTATTTCAGACCGAGGAGTCGGGATAAAAGCAACAATGGACTCTTTGGGTACAATGTATAGACCTCCACATGTTCAACATCGTTATTGTGTCCGTCATATTGCTGCAAACTATTACGGAAAATACAAGAAGAACGATGAACGTCAGTTAGTCGTGCGGATGGGTATGTTACTTTTTCCCAATTTTTCTATCAATTTCTTATTACTTATTTATACTTCATATTAACTATTACATATTCCTAATGGCTTAGGTTACGAACTCTTACCTCAAAGGTTTGAGTCGATGCTACAAGAGCTGTTTGGCAAAAATAAGAAGGGGTGCGAGTACATTATGGACATCAGCAAAGAAATGTGGACAAATGGATATTACGGGGGGTATCGCTATGGTCATATAACAACAAACTTGGCTGAAGCAATAAATTCAACCTTAAAGGGGGCGCGTCATTTACCAGTCACGGCGTTGGTTAAAACGACTTATTTTCGTTTGGGTCAACTCTTTGCAAAGCTCGGTGGACAAGCTCTTACTTGGATGCAAAACGGACATATTTACCACCCAAGACTAGTAGTTGATTTACAGAAAAAAGTGGCTGCATCAAATGGGATGTTAGTTACAAATTTTTCTCGCACCCGTGAATTGTTTCGTGTAACCGAAATGCCACGTCCGCTGCAAGGGATTGAAGCTAACTCTTTCAGAGTTAATCTGCAAGAGAGGTGGTGCGATTGTGGTTTCTTTCAAGCACTCAAATATCCATGCTCTCATGTCATTGCTGCTTGCTCACATTCGCATTTGGACTACAAAAATTATGTTGATCCCGTATACCAACTTTCACAAGTATTCAAGGTATATGAATTTGAGTTTCCGCTCATAGGAAACGAAATAGACCCAAATGAGATTCAAACTTGGCTTACAATTGTACCAGATCCATTACTATTGAGGGACTCAGGTCGTCCAAAATCTACTAGAATACATTGTGATATGGATATTCGGGAGAAGTCAACAGAACAAAAACGATGTGGGCATTGTAGAAACATCGGGCACAATAGAAAAAAATGTCCAGCTCTGTTATCATCATATAACCGTTAACTCTTATGTAATTAATATTGTATTTAAATGAATGTTTTTGTTTCTAATAATTTAATGTTATTGCATTTATATAATTTGTCAATGTATGTACACCTAAATAATTTTTTTAACTTTTAAATACATAAATATATTTAATATATTTATTCAATATAATAATTAATATTATTAGTTATAATTTTTTTTAAATATAATAATAATTCCACCTTCTAAGTAGAGAAAAATATTAAATTAAACAAATTAAAAGTTATTAAAAAATTTATGTATACGATGACACATTTCATGTTCTGATTGGAGGATTAAATTTATTAAATTAAATTTTCAATAAGACTAATTTTATAAAATATGTAAGTCTTGAAGATTAAATATGTAATTATACTAATTTATTAACTTATGCATCAATATTTTCGTTAAATATTGATATGAGATGACTAGATTGATAACATTTAAATAATTAACTGATAAAATTAATAGATCGATAATCAAAATCAAAAATAATAATATAACCATAGTGTAATATTATAATTTCATACATTTTTCTATAACTACAATAAAGTCAAAACTGGTTTTCATATATTGTTATATCATATTAATGTAGATAATTCACTCCACCTTTAACACACATTAACAAAATACATTTGATAATTCTTACATTATAATCGAAACATTTTACATAATATATTATTAATTTATAATAATAATAAAAATAAATTATTTATTATAAAACAAAATACGTGTCTGCTGAGTTGGCAAAGGCGCGTCCCCGGGGACGCGCCTTCCACACGTGGCATCCAACTCAGCGAAAACGCGGGTAAAGCGCGTCCCCGGGGACGCGCCTTTGCCAACTCAGCAGAAAGGGTGCTACTTCTGGAAATATTGGTCAAACGGTGTCAGAAAGGGAAAATTTAAAGCAAACGGTGTCAGTTATGTAATTTAGCCCAATACACATGCATGACTCATATTAATCAATGCATACATCATTCATATTATCATCATACACTAACAGGCTCTTGGAGCATCATCACCAGCAAATCCAGCCTAAGAAAGAGAAAAACGCATCATTGAAAACGATCACATGTAAATCTTAAACTAACAGATTAGAACACTAGATCATTGATAAATATACTAAGGATAGTAACCTAAATAGATACCTTAATCATTCCAGTTCCGTTATCGCATACGAGTGGTTGAATATCCTCACCATCTGCCATCTAGTTTTGCTAGCTGAAATAAAACATCGTAATCAAATTGAATCAGCATCACAGAAACACAGGAAGCACGCAGCTCACAAATCAACAATCATGACTCGAATTTTGAATCATTTATGAGAAAGGATATAACACCAAAGCACCCCCATTCATCGGGAGACTGGAAAGATACAAGCAACATAATTTTTTTACAACATTCCAATTTCACATATAAACAAATCCACCACAAACAATTTGCTTAAAAACTACCAAGATAAATTAAAGAAGAGAATTCTTTATATAATCATTTATTCTTATTTTCTTTAATCTTTCTAGTTGAAAGCTAGCTAATTCATAGAACATTAATTATATTGAACCATAAGTCATCGCAGATCCAATGATTAGAACTTAATGAATCATAAATTATCCAAATATTTCAAACAAGAACCAGTACAAATCAATTAAGCTGATAATGGATGCATTCAATTCCTACAAATTTATCATCATGCTGAGCAAAACCAGACACAAATAAACAGACAATAATTTATGAAAATTTTCATCTACTGTTTCTTTTTTCCTGTATATTTTCAGTAACCAAACAGTGGCTAAACGATCAATTAAACTGAGAGCGGATACATACAATTCCTACAAAATTATAGCACTGCTGATCAAAATCAGATCTAGAATCAACAATCCATTGTATTATTTTTTCCTGAATATTCTCAAATCTCAGGAACAAAACAGTAGCTAAACGATCAAATGAACCGAGAAAGATATGCACATTTCCTACAAAATTATCACAATCCTAAGCAAAATCTGATCGACGATGTTTTATAATAAACGGTAATCTGAATTTTTCATCTAGTCTTCTTTCCTAAATATACTCGGGAACCAAACAGAACGATCAATTAAACTGAAAGACGATACGTACATTTTCTACAAAATTATCGCAATGCTAAGCAAAATCAGATCGAAAATCAACAATGTATGACGCTTTATAATAAAATGAGAATCTGTAACTTTTATCAATTGTCTTCTTTTTCTTTACCGCATTTTCTCATGAACCAAACATTAACAAAAGGAAAATCACCTGCGCAAGAGCCAAAGGAAAAGGGAAAATCTAAGAAAGATAATCCTAAAAGAGAATGAAAAAGAAAATAGCAAGCGAATGAATGAAACCCATTTTTGAAATTTAAATCGTGAATGGAAAACTTTTTACCGGATCTTTCGGTTATATATGCTCCATTAACAACGCTACTAAAACCGGATTCATTTTAGTATCTACGATATTAATTTTGGTCCGTTTTAATATATAAACTTTTATTATTTTCAAAATCATGCTTAAACTTTAATTTTTATTTTCATTTTAATACCCGCTATTAGAAGTTTTAGATTTTGTTTCAATTTAGTACCAGTTCAAAATTTAACATATAGTTTTGAAAAAAAATTAAAAGTTTAGGTACTAAACGTGTTAAGTTTTTAACAGTAGGTACTAAAATGAAATGATAACTAAATGTTAGGAATGATTTTAAAAATTTAAAAGTTTAAATACTAAAACATACCAAAACTAATAGTTTAGTTATAAAATGCATAGTTTATCCAGAAAAATAATCAGAATAATTTATGAAAAGTATGAGGTGTTTTCAATATTAAAATATATTATACTAACATTTTGATAAAATGCAATTTGGGATCAAACTTTTTTTTTGGATAATCCGAAAAAAATTATTTAAAATATGAGAATTATTCGATCTAATTAAGTAAAATAATTGAATTAATCGATTCAATACAATATTTTTTTTAAGTACGTAAATGGTCTATCGAATATAAGATGTTATTTTATTGAATCCTTTAACTATGAAAAATTATAAAATTATCCCTCAATTATAGTTGAGTTCCTAACTATTAAAAGTTATAAAATGATCACCCGTATATTCATACATTTCAAACTCATCATTTCCTTTAAAAAACTGATAGTCGTCTGAGTTTGACGTTAACATATTGATTGAGATATGATAAAATATGATCTTGAAATTTCATATGACTATACAATACAAGCGGTTCTAAGATGTTATGTCCGTGACAAGTTAATTCGAATTAATTCGTGACGAGTTAATTCGAGGCATAGATCTATGTTAGGAAAGGTTGATTTGTCTGAGAGTTGTCTCATTTAAGTGCCGCACGGCATAACAACATGACCGAGATGTTATGTCTGTGACATTATGCACCCAGTTGTCGGGTTCGGCTTGTTGTGGCAGCACAAAGCCAGTGTGCATTGCGCGCACATCAGGTGGCCACGGTCTTGAACTTCAATTGTGCACATCTGCTCAAAGCATATGCAGCATACTTCAGTATCACTAGACTACATCAAATAATTCGCCGGTAAATATATCAGCTTGATCGTTCCAATTACATGCAAAAACTCATGAAAAAAAACATTTGACATATCTATAATGGACAACTGATGCCCGACTCTTACATCCGCAGATAGGATGAATAAAAATTGGATTATAGAGACCTAAATATAGGTTTTAGAGCATGCTGAAGTAAAAAACTTTATGCTGTCAATTGCTAGATCATGAAACTCAAATTATCCTATACCAGAACTACTGTAGGCATTCAAACTTACAGTAAGATGGGATGTTATACCTCATAAATATTGTCATTCTTATTCGACTTTTATTTGAAGTTTTTATAATTTATGTATGAATTGTATCATTGGGGATAATTGAAAAGCATTTGCTTATATAGAGAGAGAAGCATTTATAAATATATTATATTTTTATTTAAACATTTAAAGTATTTTTTTTAAATAAAAAATGGATGTCCTTTGTTTCCATATGTAATGGGATAAGGGGAGGTAAGATAGTAGGCTGCCCTCAACACCAAGTTGAAAGCAGTTTTCGTAGAAGACCTCCGAATTATGAAATGCACTCTGTGTGACTCGATCCCACGACCTGTTAAGAACCTTATGCTCTACAAATACATATTTAAAATTATTATTACTTATAAAATTAATTATATCATATGTTCCTCAACTATAACTCTCATTTTAAATTGATGTCTCTACTAAATTAAATATAACTAAAATACTACTTTTAATCATTAAAAATGAATACTGAATTAAATACTAATAATTAATCATACTGACTTTCAAGATCTTTTTCATTTTTGACTAATGATTTCTATTAAATTATTTAGAATGCAATTATATTTATATAAAACAAATAATGAAAAGAATTACAAGAAACAGATAGAAAACATACAAAACGACAGAAGATGGAATGGAATGTTATGGGACCATAGCAACGGAATATTTCTATTACGTACTATTAGTATATGTAAACCGACCATTTTTATTATTTTCTCTTTATTTTATTGATATCAATCACCACTTGTCATGGGGGTTCCCTGCTAGCTTAACCTACAATACGAAAGAAAAATTCACGTCAAATTTGAAGTTGGGATGGCACTGAAAACAAATGGAAGATTCATAAGCTCAGCCTGGATTGGAATATTTTGACAAAGCCGAAATCCCTTCGAATTCGACAAATGAAACATCAAAACCACAAGTCTCGTAAAGCAAATAAACTCTAAAAGGGTCTCTTTCGTAAGTCCGTTTCGCGTAGCTTTTCAAACGCAATTTTACTTTAAAAAATATTTTGATCACAAAATCAATGTCGAATAAAAAAAAATGAATGAATAGATATTAGATTTCTTTCATCACAAAAAAACAACAAAGAGATCAAATTTCAGACAATAACGTGTCACTGATGACAAACAGTTCCAAAACACACCCAAGTATAGTTTCATTGCAGTTACTTCAACCTTGATCCCGTGTCCATGTTGGCCATATTTTACCATGCTTGCGGTCAAAAGCACAGAGTCAGGTTAAAAGAAAAGCTTATTCCTTTTGCTGGCAAATTAAATAGAGCAAGGAGGGAATAGCGGCGGAAGAGGCGGTGACGGTGGTGGAAATTCGAGTTTCACGAGGCGGCAGCTTACTTTAAGGTGGCGGCGTCGTGGCATGCAGCAGCCCATGAAAACAGAGCAATGCATAAGAATCAGCGAAACCATTTTAATCCATCTACTGTTTCAACTTCGTGGCATGAGCCAGTCTACAGTCCTGCACCACCCTACCATCACCGTGTGACTGCGCCATTAATGGCGTGCCCTCTTTCCTCATTTTTGACCAAAGGCTTCGTTTTGAAGCACTCATTATCATGGAATGAGGGTTTAGGGTTCAGCGTGATGACATTAGTAAACTAAATTCTAGGTCACTCAACTATTAGGTAGATTACAAATATTGCATATCTTTTTCTAAAAATGTATTTTAATTATATAATTAAAATATTATTATAAATAAATTATTTATATTACAATTAAAATTAAAGTTTAATGTAATCTACCAATAATCAGTTGATTTAGTGGAATAAAACACTAAATCCCTTAAATAAAGTCAAGAGTTCGAATCCTTACATTTGTGAATGGAGCAAGGTAAGATCGCCCTCACTTTTGAATTATCTTATCTGAATTAATCAGTTAATAGATAAGATACCAATAATTAATTAAAAAAAGTTTAACATAACCTAATATAACAACAAATTTGGTCTCTAAAATTTATACTATCAAATTAATCATAAATTAAAACAAAACAATAAATTTGACCTTTATATTTAAAAATTCATCAATTTAATTCTTTGTGATTTTATCAAATCAAATAAGTATCAAATCAATAAACCATTAGATAAATGCAGGGTCGAAGCTATGCCTCGTCCCGGGTGCCACTTCCCTCTATTTTCTTATTATTAAAAAAAATATAGACAAATCTTAAACTAGAGCTCCTAATTTTACTTTATTTTGAATTTACCCTTTATTTTCTCTAATTAATTATAAGTTTCCCCTCAGTTTTTTTAACCTATTGAATATTTAATAAATTATTGATTAAAGCATTCCATAAATGAATACTAGCTAATTATATGGCTGAAAACGGTCGACTGATAGTATTACAAAATATGTGTAATAAAATTTATAATTCGATGATAAGAATGATTGATGATTAGTACATAATGCTTTTGTATCCACCAAGTGCGTAGCAAAAACATATTCCATGAGAAGATTGTTGCCAACTCCCCAACCTTGTGTCTCATACAGCAATAAACATATTGCTCTTATTATTATAATCTAACACCATATGAGATATTGAGAGGAATTTTAAGCGACATAAAAGTAATATATTATTCTTTTGGAGAAAACACTAAATTGATAGAATATTTATACATAAAACATTAAATTTATTGATTTATTTTGAATTAGAACAAAATTAATTGAATGTATAAAATTGAAGACTATACTATTAGCCTGCCAAGCCATGCTAAACATCCATTTCAAGTTTAACGTCGAACTGGCATGTTTGTAACAATATCTTGGTTTAATGACTAAATTGTGACTTTTAGTAAAAATTATGACATGTTTGAGTGACTAAGAATGTAGTTTACCCTATAATTAAAAACCTTGTTTCGATTCATAGGCTATAATTGATAATTAATTAGTTGAAGTAATTGAAAAAAATAAAGCAATGATTTCCTTCACTCTTTCCCTGGCCATAGGCAGGTCCTAATAGAAATAATATTTAATAAAAAGTTAAATATAAAAATGATATTTAGTAAGTTAAAAAATATGAAACAAATAGTAGAACCAAAAGGGATGCAGCTAAAGCCCACAGAGCAGAGTTCACCCAAACCTAGACGATTCAACTTCATCTGCATGCACTCATCTCTGCTGAGCCTCACCCTTTACTTCAATTCCTAAAGCCTACCCCTTTGCCTAGTCCTTTACAACCCAACCCTCTTGTCTTCCCCCCCCCCCCATCTCTTTTCTTCAATGGCGTATCCATCATCATCATCATCTTGTTTTTCCCATTCTTTCATTCCCGAGATCCTACCATTTCTCTATAACCCACCAATATCTTTTCTGCCCATTTTCGTCTTTTCATATGAGACGACGCTTTGAATTATGGTTCGGTCCCTAACCTTCACTTTGTTCAATTTAGGACGATCGGACTATTAGAAAAGGGACTAAATTGTAAATTAAATCATGGTAAAGAGACTAGTTGTAGGGTTTAACCAGAATACAACCCTACTTCTTCAGCCGCTACCCACCATGTTTTCAGAGATTTTCAGCACAAAAAACAATACGCATGTCAACCTCAAATCTCTACTATTTTCTCTCTTATCCTTGTTTGACTCTTTTTCTCCTCTTTTCCTCTTCTATTTAAACAAGTACAAAAGCAATGCAATATGCAAATCCCATGCCAGTCGCCAAACCATCTTTTCATCTTCTTTTTTGCCTTGTTTTTTAAAGCAAACTTTCAAAAATCCATATTCCATGAATCAATCAAATCTGAGAAGACCCCATTTTTAATAAAATCAGTCATATAAACGCTTACTTAAATCTTGGCAACAAGAAGGAAACAAATGGATGGTGGTGGTGGTAGTATGGAAATGGGTGCTGCTGTTGGTGGAACCAATGGGAATTCAAGGTGGAACCCAACGAAGGAGCAAATAAGTATGCTGGAAACCTTGTATACGCAAGGGATAAGGACGCCGAGTGCAGAACAGATAGAGCACATAACGGCCAGGCTCAAACCTTACGGCACCATCGAAGGCAAAAATGTGTTCTATTGGTTTCAAAACCACAAGGCACGCCAAAGGCAGAAACAAAAGCAAGAGAATTTAGCTTATATCTATCGCTATCTGCATAGAACACAACCTCTTTATCCTCCTCCTCCACCTTGCCCCAATGGTTATTTTCGAAAATCCCATCATTTTTGTTACAAATTGTTTTCTTTTGGGAATCTCGCTATTTATTTGATTATTCTATCTAGATATATATCTTCGTTCCAAGCGGTCTTGACATGCACATGACTCGATATGCGTGTCGATGGCTTTCAAAATCTGTTAAAACTACATTGTTTATAGCAAAGTAACAGTTTTTTGGATCAATTTGTAGCAAAGTACTTGGATATGATTCTATACTTTTTTTTTCACTTCTGCATATTACTTTGACGATCCCTGTCTCTTTCATACTGATATGTAGTCTACAGACATATGGACAAAACATGTTATATTAAACGAAACATCTGATTTGGTTTGGTCTTATTTTTTGCTCTAGTTTGTGCTCCATATTTTGTACCACAAGGTGAGCATCATCTAGGGTTTTACCCTCAGTGCCCCAAGGTTCTTCTACCCGGTGGATCGATGAAGAGGAGAGCGAGACCTGCTGGCGGGAAAATGGTGAAGCCGATATTTTACGGTGGAAATGCATATGATCATATGTTTCACCATGATTACAACGCCACGATAATACCAGATGCTGAAAACTTCGGTGGAGCACTCAGCAAAGGCAGCGGCTGCAGCAACGACCATCGCACTAATCATCAGGAGACGTTGCCATTGTTTCCGTTGCACCCGTCCGGTGTTTGTGAAGAAAAGTCAACGCCATTAATGGCTTCCCCCAGGTGCTGGTTCGAGCTCTTGCGAGGCTACTGCTGCTGCTGGTGTTGTCCGAGAAAGCAGTGCGGGAGCCTCCGGTGAACAACGTTTCTTTGATTTCTTCTCTTGGGAAGCTTCTTCCAAAAGGGTTTAAGTTAACAGTGGACATATTGAACTAATTAATAGCCATTTGAGTATCTTGTGTTTCTTTTCTAAGTTTTATTTTGTACCAAGAGAGGAGGTTCTCCAGGTGGTGTATCGGTTCTATTAATCTTATGTCATTGACTTTTGGTTCTCTTTTTGTCTCCCAATGTTCAGTTGGAGATTGCATTAGGTATTTGGAATTTTAAGCATTTCATGCACTCAAATACATATATTTGTTGTATTGTATGAGCTGTTATTTGCATGCGATGCATTTATAGGATATAACTTTCTTTTCGGTCTCATTGCCCAACCGTTACCTCCTTTGATATTTTGAATAATAAATGTAATGATCATGCATTTGTAGGATATAGTCCAATTTATTTAATAAAAATTTTATTAATTATTACATTTATTATATTATTTAAGTGGTCATTTTTGATAAATTTAACAATCATTATATATATATATATTTTAAAACAAAAAGTTTAAACTAACTTAGAGGAATCAAACGCTTGGGCCTAACCGTTCTCTTGGACAATCATTTTATATTTTTATAAATTAATATTTCATCAAAAATATTAATATTATTCTAAAGATAATTAAATTGATATTTTATTTAACCTTTTGAAAATTAAATTTGTTGAGTGGAATGGATAAACTATGAAATCGGATTGAGCCGTTAGTCGTTGGAGCAATCCCAAATAGAAAATCCACAGTATTTGACGTGTATATCCGTATTAAACGACTTATATCTTATCTCCCATACGCCACCGTTTCACTGTGACCAATTCTATTCAATTGCTTCGTAGTTCCTACCGATAGCCATCACCGTTAATTCACTTTGACCTTCAATACGTTGTCGTTTCTTGCGTTAAAACAATCTGAAAAAGGCCCAACTGAACGGAATTTTAAACGGTTGACATTATATCGCTTTCCTCTTTCATTTCTCTCTCCCTTCGACCTTGAAATTTTCCCAAAAAAATCTCTTTGTTGGGGATTCTATGCCCTTGCTCGGAAGGTAATTCTTTCAATATCTCTTGTTTTCATTTACATATTTCCTTGTTTTTTCTTTTCTATTCTTTAGATTAAAAGGTGAGTTATTATTTGTTTATTTTATTGTATAGATCAAAAAAGTTCATTACACATTATTTGGTTTTTGTTATTTTTGATATGCTTCGGGTTCGATTTGTCGAGATATTAGCTGTTTTCAGGACTGAAACACGAGAGCTCTTTTAGTGGATGAGTGAAGAAAAATGGTTATTTTGATGACTAGTCAATTATTCGCCAATGAGTTGCATTGATTAAATATTGAGGTTTATCTTATTTTTTTTGGTGATTTGATGGGCTCGGTTTTGATTTTTTTGAGATTGAATATTGTTCTTAGGACTAAAAGTATGGGAGAAGATTTGCTTACAAGCTTGTGTATGGAAAGCCACCACCCTTCAACAGTTCTATCAATGGATTCAAGTTCAATATCTCATGTGGAACTTGACCGAGATATGAACCGATCGATGGCTCTTTCTAAAGCACCCGATATTAATCTTATTCCTCTGTCCTGTAGTCCGCCAAAATCGTGGAATTCAGATCCATTAGATATGTTGGATGTAGGTCTTGGAACTCATGTCAATGAGGTTGATACTCTAGTTACGGTGTCGAAAACCGGGCAGCGTAAGTGTGCCAAGAGATTGGATGGTGTTTGGGGTGCTTGGTTTTTCTTTAATTATTACTTTAAGCCTGTTTTTAATGAGAAATCAAAAGTGAAGGTGGATAGGGATGCAAATGGAGTGTCGGGTCTTGAGTTTGATAAGTTGGATCTTGAGCTAGAGGTTTTTTTGGTTCAGCACGATATGGAAAATATGTATATGTGGGTTTTTAAAGAGAGGCCTGAGAATGCATTGGGTAAGATGCAGTTGAGGAGTTACATGAACGGACATTCACGTCAAGGGGAGCGGCCTTTTCCGTTTAGTGCTGACAAGGGATTCATTCGATCACATAGGATGCAGCGCAAGCAGTATCGTGGTCTTGCTAATCCTCAATGCGTGCATGGGATTGAGGTTGTTCCATCCCCCAATCTCACAGGTCTCGATGAAGAGGAGCAGAAGAGGTGGATGGAACTTACAGGAAGGGACCTGAATTTTGCGCTCCCACCTGAAGCAAGTGAATTTTGTACCTGGAGGAACCTTGCTAACACTGAATTTGAGATCGATAGACCCCTTCCTTCTATAAAAACTATCGTGCAGGCTCAACAAAAAAAGCTTCTTAACGGATCAGGTTTAGATTTGTCGATTAGGCATTCAAACCATGCAAATGGTGGTGTTACGGATCTATCCACTGTTGGCAGCAAGAGGAGGAAGGATTTCTTTGTAACTGGCAATGAAGACTGTCATTTGCTCATTAATCAGCATAATGACAGCGTAAATGAGTCAGAAATGCACCTGAATGAACCACATTGGTTGAATGAGTTTAGTGGAGTGATGAGAAATGTTTATGGACCTGTTACAGCTGCCAAAACAATATACGAGGATGAACAAGGATACCTAATTGTTTTAAGTTTGCCTTTTGCTGATCTTAAGAGAGTGAAAGTTACTTGGTGGAATAACCCAACTCATGGTGTCGTAAAGGTATCATCTATAAGCACAGCTTGCGTGCCAGTTATTAAGAGAAATGATCGGACATTCAAGCTTACAGATCCGTTTCCGGAGCATTGTCCACCAGGAGAGTTCATAAGGGAAATACCTCTACCAACTAGGATTCCGGATGATGCTAAGCTAGAAGCATATGGTGATGAAACAGGAATTGGTCTTGAAATCATAGTGCCGAAGCACCGAACAGGTCCAGAAGAACATGAGGTTCGCGTCTGCCTCCGTCCCAACCTTGGACCGAATGAGCTTTTACTGTCATAACTTCCTATATAAGCTTTCCACTGAAGAAATACAAAGATAGGTTCTTTTTGTGGTAAAAGATTCCATTATTTTGTACTAAAAAGAAAAAAGATTGTAATGAAAAATAAGTTTACATCTGATATTGATATTTGTAATGTAGTCATCATCAGCAAATAGTATAGATTGGAGATTCCTTGGTGCATGTTTAGGTGAATGCCGTGCGTCTCTTTCTTTTATATCCTTCGTTATTTTATACATTTCAATTTTGGTTTCAGGTTTGATAAGAAACATGCAACTTTTATATGTAGATTTCAAATACAGGTGTTCAACTTCACTACGAAAAAAGAAATTGTTACATACATTGAAGTGTAAATTTATAGTCAAACAACAAAATCACTCGTAAAATCAGATCCCTGAGATGTTAAAAAAAAAAGTCTGGCAGCTTAATCTACTTCCTCAATCATAGGCCCTGCACCCTAACCACCACCGGCGGCTGCCTGGTACATCTTTACAATGATGGGATTGCAAATGCTTTCCAGCTCCTTAATCGTGTCCTCAAACTCATCCGTGGAGACATCGGATAGCGCCATTGATTGTGTCCTCAATCCTTTTGTTATCGGTATTGGATAGTTTAGAACTTATCTTCTCATCCTTGATCGTGTTATAAGAACAATTCTGAAGTGGCCTCAGCTTTGTTCTTGAGTTCCTCATCCTGGGACTTGCATTTCTCAGCTTCTTGCACCATCTTCTCAATCTCTTCCTTGGATAGCCTACCTTTGTAATTAGTGACAGTGATCTTGTTCAAAATACCATTTGCATAAATGTCAAAGCGAACTTTGAACACCACAGGGTGCGGGCGGGATACATACCTGAAAACTCAAATTTCCTGAGCAGATTGTTACCCCCCCCCCCCGGGGAAACCTGAACCAGAACCCCGGGATGACCATCTGAGTAGGTAGAGAAAACTTGTTCCATTTTGGTGTCGTCTTCCTTGGAATCAATATAGTCATAACTCCAGCAGCAGCCAAGGGAAAGTGGCCTGGGATGACAACAAATCTTGAACCGCAGCCTGTGAGCTGTTTACCATTGAATAAATACTGCAGCAAATACTAAAATTTCGGAATCCGAGTAGAGCAACCAATCAATCATGAACCTGGCTTTTGTCCATTTGCATCCCTCCGACATCTGCTTCCATACATTTCCTAAACAGATTCATGTTCAACTCCTCGGGTTATGGTCGTATAAAAATTGATGCCTTCCTGCAAAATGATTCACCGTCATGTTGTCGAAATCTTCACCTGCAGTTGCCCTCATTTTCAAAGATCCCTTCTTCAATCTTCAACAATGAAACATCCACCCAGGTCCAAAATAAGCACATTCTTTTCCCCTCAACTTCCAGCCTTTTTATCAACCCCATTGCCAATAGCTGCCGCGGTTAACAGTTTTATAAAATTATAACCCATGGAAATTAATAGAATGATGGGTTCAAATTACAGAAGTAATTTACAAAAGTGTACAACATTTTAATCATTAAGAAATTTTATAAAGAAACAAAGTAATATTAGTAACATTAAATTAGAAATTTAAAGTTACATTATATCAAATTCACGATTAATTAACAAAATTTGCTCATATTAGTAGTAACGGTTATTGAAAAACGTAAATAGCTAATAAATTAAAAAGTATAAGAGAAAAATATGAAGTGTTTTTTCTATTTTTTTATAATCTATTTATTTAATTTTCAATTTATTTTTTCCTAATAAGCCGTTAGCCACTTTAACCGCCCTAATTTCAAAAATCACATCTTTTCACGCCAAAACCCTACCAATATCTTGCGTGGCAACATCTGATTCGCCTTAAGTGCGTTTGAAAACAAGATGGACCGTACAGAATCCTGTGAGACCACAATCGGCAAATTCCTTCCATCTATAAATTGGAACGAAGAGTCAGCTCTGCGTTTTTCTCTTGCTTCTCCTCTCTTAAAATCGCATTTAAGCTCTCCTCTCCATGGCATCTCAAGCCATCCTCCTCCACTGGTCCAACACATAGTATGGGGTAATACGTGTTGGGAAATAAATCGAGTACAAATAATTTCTCTATAACCAGATTAGTAAGAATGCGAAATAAAAGCGGAAAAATAATACCCGAAAATTGATAACGGAGTTCAGCCAATTGTGCTTACGTCTCCGGACTGCTGCAGATATTTTACTAAGAGAGAAAATTTACAGGTGTTTACAAAACACTCACTACTCACAAGAAACTCTCTAGTATTGGGAGAAAGAAATGATTTGGGATTTGGGATAATTTTAAAGCTAAATGAGCTAGGGTATTTATAGTTGAAACTTAGGGACTAATCTTTGAAAATACCCTAGTGCAATGACTAAAGTGAATTTACCCATTCCTATTTTCAACAAACATCTACCAAACTTTGAAAAACATTTTTTCAAAGAAACATTTACCAATTGCCAAACTTTGAACTAACTTTAACAATCTCCCACTTGAAGACTGATTTTAATCTGTCTTCACACCTCGATCAATGCAGCAATATTTCTGGTCTTGTTATTCTAGCATGCCAATTGAAGTTGAACACAACTTCAGTTTGTCCGTAGTCACCGTCTTTGTCAACATGTCTGCCGGATTTTGAGCTCCACTAATCTTTTCAAGTTTCAAAATCCCATCTTCCAGAAGAGATCGGATAAAGTGATATCTCAATTGTATGTGCTTCGTCCTGGAATGAAAAGACGGATTCTTTGCTAGATGGATAGCACTTTGAATGTCGCAATACAAGACATTGTTTTCTTGTTTTTTGCCTAACTCTTCCAAGAAACTTTGGAGTCAAACCATCTCCTTGCTAGCTTCCGTAACAGCGACATATTCTGCTTCAGTTGTGGATAGAGCAACTATCTTCTGTAGTTGAGAAACCCAACTCATTGCAGTTCCTCCTAGAGTATAGACATACCATGTAGTGCTAATTCTAATGTCAATATTTCCGGCTAAGTCAGCATCTACATAGACTGTCAATATCGTATCTTCACCTTTGAAATAAAGTGCTTTGTTTGTAGTACCTCACAGATATCTGAGGATCCATTTGAGTGCTTCCCAGTGTACCTTGCCCGGATTATTCATGTACCTGCTAACAGCTCCCACTGCTTGAGCAATATCACATTAGACTTCCAATTGCTGAGGCATACGACACCTTCACCATGTGTGCACGTTCTTCCTCCGTCTTTGGTGACTGTTCTTTGGAGAGTCTAAAATGAACACCTAAAGGTGTATTTACTGGTTTATCATCTTGCATGTTGAACATGGAGAGTACTTTGTTGATGTACTCAGCCTGTGATAACATCAAAGTCCCCGACTTTGTGTCTCTCTTGATCCTCATCCCAAGAATCTGCTTTGCAGCGCCCAGATCCTTCATAGCAAACTGCTTCGACAATTTTTGCTTCAAGTGTATAATCTCTTGCATGTTTGAGCCTGCAACGAGTATGTCATCAACGTACAACAATAAAATAATGAAGCTATTGTCGAACCTCTTGATGTAGCAATAATGATCTGCTTGGTATCTGGTAAAACCACTGCTACCCATGAAGCTATCGAACTTCTTGTACCACTGTCTAGGAGCTTGTTTTAAACCATACAAGCTCTTCTTCAACCTGCATACCAGGTTTTTCTTGCTTGCCTCTATGAAGCCTTCTGGCTGCCTCATATAAATTTTTTCCTCCAAATTATCATGAAGGAAAGCTGTCTTTACATCTAACTGCTCAAGATGTAAATTCTCTACAGCTACAATTTTCAATACCAGTCTGATTGTAGACAGCTTCACGATTGGAGAGAAAATTTCATTGTAGTCAATACCTTCTTTTTGTTGAAAACCTTTGACAACCAATCTCGCTTTGTAGCGTTTTCTCCCATCGTGCTCTTCCTTGATCCTGTAAATCCACTTGTTGTGGAGCGCTTTCTTGCCTGGTGGTAATTCAGCTAATTCTCACTTCTGATTTGACATAAGCGAGTCCATCTCATCTTTCATAGAAGACTCCCACTTGACTGAATCCTCTACTTGCATTGCTTCATCATAACACTCTGGTTCACCATTGTCAGTCACCAATAAGTAGTGCAAAGAAGGAGAATATCGTTGGGTTGATTTAGGAATTCTAGAGGAGCGTCTCAGTTTTGGTGTGCCTGGTTCTTCTTGAACTGCTTCAGGATTGATCTGAACATCATTTCTAGAAATCTCCTCGAACTCAACAAATTCCTTTGTTTCAGCTTCGGTATTGGAGCTACTTGATTCTACAGTTGACATGTCTTTGTACATCACATTCTCATTGAAAATGACATCTCTTCTTCTGATGATCTTTCGATTTTCGTAGTCCCAAAACTGGTAACCGAACTCATCACCTCCATAACCAACAAAGACACATTTGTTAGACTTGGCATCAAGTTTACTTCTTTCAGCAGAGTTTATGTGTACATAAGAAATACAACCAAACACTTTTAAGTGTGAAAGGTTTATTTCTTTCTTGCTCCAAACTTCCTCTGGTATTCTTCCATCCAAAGGAACTGAGGGCCCACATTTGATCAAGTAAGCTGCAGTGTTGATAGCTTCAGCCCATAGAAATTTGGGCAATCCGGCATGTATCCTCATGCTTCTGGCACATTCATTTAGAGTTTTGTTCATGCGCTCTGCTACGCCATTCTGTTGCGGTGTCATGTGAACTATTGTCTCCATCTTGATCCCATTGTTTGCGTAGAAATCTCTGAATCTTCTATTTTTGTACTCTCCTCCATTGTCAGACCTCAACCACTTGACTTTCAAACCTGTCTCATTTTCCACCATGGCCTTCCATTTTCTGAAGGTATCAAAGACTTCTGATTTCTTCTTCAGAAAATAAACCCATGCCTTCCTTGTTGAATCATCGATGAAAGTGACATAATATAATGAGCCTGCAAGAGATGGAACTGGAGATAGTCCCCATACATTAGTATGAACCAACTCTAACCTTTCTGCCTTGGGTGTCTTGCCAATCTTTGCAAAACTGACTTTCTTTTGTTTGCCAAAGATGCAATCCTCGCATAGTCTGACATCTACATTCTTTAGATCCGGAAGCTTCCCTTTTGACAAAAGCGTCTTCATCCCTTT